TTTGTCTCCTAGTTCTTTCCTCTATTTCCTTTTACTTTCCTCTTGTCCCACTATCATATTCAGTCTTCATTTGGGTTTCAGTAATTCCTCTCAGCAACATTGCCCTTGATCAAGCACCACCAGGCATCCTATGCCCTCCTCCATTGATTTTAGATCACTTGTTGTTCCCTTGTCCCTGGGTTGGTTGATACTCCCCACCCATCCTTTCCCTGTCTCCCCCTCTCTCCTGTGTGTCCAGAACCACCAATCCCATTGTTTTCTCCTCCAGATTGGTTATCTTGCCTGCCTGTCTTATCTAGATAACATGCTGAGACAATAATAAGCACAAAAACCAGAGCAAAACAAAGCAACAAAACAAAACCAACAACAACAAAAAGAAAAGCCTATAAATAATTCAAGGTCTGTTTGTTGACCTTTAGGGGTGTTTTCTGGTCAAGATGGGGTGGCATGCCCCGACCCCAAAATCTATTTTTACGATTCTCTCGTGACTTCATTGCTTTGCTCCCCTTGTTGCTCTGTTGCATGCCCTTAGCATTTGGCCCCGTTGTGGTGGGGTCAGATTGGGCACAATTCCCGCACTGTGCCACCAGTGTTGTCCCTCGTAGTGCTATGGGTCAGTGAGGGATGTTGTGTCTCATGGTGGAGCCGGACCTATGGTCCTCTCTGTGCATTGGCTGCTCTGAGCAGGAATATCATCCTCGAGGCTTGGGAGGCCAGGATGTGTTCCACTCAGAGAGTTCTTATAGTCCTCCCACACCCAGTTTCTTCTATTAGTAATAGATCATATTTGGGCAGTAACTGTTACAATGGATGAACTGATATTGATATATTATTATTAACTTATTTCTTTCATTGTTAACTAATATATTAATGTTAACTAATGCTCTATTCCATTTATGTTCATTTTTACCTAATGACCCTTTTCTGTTGCAGAACCCCATCCAGGATACTACATTCCACATCCTGGGGTGACATCTCCCCAGGATCCTTTTGCTGGTGACCAGTCTCAGGTTGAGCTTGGGTGTGATCCCTTTCAGCTGTGAGGAGTGCTGGCCAGGCATGCTGTCTCTCAAGTGGGCTTTGTTTGGTGCTTTCATCATGACTAGACTGGGGTGGGGCTTGCGGGGAGGAAGTCCGTGTCATTCTCATCCCTTCAGATGGAGGGTACACACTACCAGCTGTTGCCCATAGAGTCCATCTTAAGTGGTGTGGGTCCGGCTTCTCTGTGGTGAAGTCACTTTTGGACTTCAGGACTGGGCGTAGGGCTCCCCCTCCTGCTCCACCACCCAACTCACACCCAACTTTCACCACGCTCAGCCTGTTTGGGCCCAGAGACCCCTCAGACCTTCAGCTGCTCTTTCCTTCATGCCTTGCTCTGATGTCCTCTCTCAGCAAAGCCACCACTGCAGCACTCCCACTGCTCTGCCCGGTCGCCGGATTCTATATTGTTCAGAGTGAAGGACAAACTCCTCACCTGCCACATAGGCCTGCCGGGATCTGATCCCTCCCTGCCCACCCTCACTTCTTAACACCATCTTTTGGACAGTGCTGGCTGCTCAAACGATTTTCTCTTTCGTAGTCACATATGCTGCTAGCCTTGTTCAGAACCCTTCTCCTCACACGCTCCAACCAACACTGCGCTCAAGCCAGCTACATCCTATTATTTATTTTTCCCTTCTGAGGTCCTGTGCGATCACAAGGGATCAAAGGGATCAGGGATCAGGCATCATCAGAACAAAAAAATCACATCATTGTGAATGAGTGGGGAAATGTGGAGTGGAGACCCAAAGCCCATTTGTAGGCTACTGGACATCTCCTTATAGAAGGGTCTCGGGGACGGAAACAGCAGTCAATAAATCCAACGCCATATCGCATTTGCCAATCTGCACCAGACCTCTAA